TTTAGTTCTTTTTCTGCTTAATGTCAGACAATTGTATTTATAACGGTCCTGATTGTGCAGGGAAAATAGACGATTGTAAAGATTTTTTTAGGGCGTGCTATACTTTTATATACCTGCTTGGTACGTGTTTGAAACCACATGTGAGTACTAATCATACTTGAATTTCTATTGGGTGAACGTGCATTTTAGGTTCTTCATCGTGTATCCTTCTTAATAAGAAAATCTTGTGAGATTCATCTTGCCTCAGTAATTATTCCTCGAGATATGGAATTTTGAATGTTATCAATTTGTGATACTCAGGTAATATTGAATGCTCTCTTATGGTCAATAGCAACTTGAGGTTAATTTCTGTTTATTTATTAGTTCATGATTGATGTCCATGCAGGTGGCTATCTTGAATGGCATTACCATGGGTGGTGGTGCTGGAGTCTCAATCCCTGGGACATTCCGCATTGCAACTGACAAAACTGTACGGACAGGGATACTTGTAGACATTATTCTTTGTTTCTTTTTCACAAATTTGCTGGCTTGACAATTGGTTCATATCCCGCTGTTCTTTTTGATTGAGGAAACCATCAATTACTTTGCTGAAGCTTCTTAAGAACTGAAAATTGGTTGAGGTGTTTTGGGGATAATGTAACACACCAAAAACTTCAAGTCCCTCTAGGAAGTCTTCAATAAAATTGATATGTTGAATCTAATCTGAATATACATCAATAACAAGGGAATCGAAGATGATTATGAGCATATAGCATTCTTAGCTTAGCCTTAAAGAGGTGTATGCAACCCAGTGTATATGTCTTGTGTCATCCCTTGCCCTGTTTAAGAATACTCCTTACAAGCTATGAATAGGTGTTTCAGTGCAGTATTGATTATTGTCTTTACCAAATAGATAACTGTTTTTCACAGCCTGGTCAGGGCTTATGCTATAAGGGTTTTTTTAGCACCTGATTTGATATATAAAGCTACCCTTTCTCTATAATCTGCCTATATGTCAAATTTGTGTGTGAAACTTGTTTGGCCGCTTGAAACGAGTTCACCTTTATTAGTATAAAAGTAAAATCATGTACCAAACAAGTGACTTGTGTTCCTAACTCTGTAACTCATCTCCTCTCCCCCCCCTATCTGTGAGATGAGACTAACTCAACCTGTGGAAATATTATGTTCAGTAGAATCAGTACAAGGCATGTGGAATCCAAAAAAAACAAAAAAAAAATCTCATATATGTCCATATTTCTGCGAATAAGTTAGGTGGAGTCAATTCAAACCTTATTGCTATGCTTATTTGAAATCCATTTGGGAAACAAGGAACCCTCACCAGTCACTGTACTGCTCATATTTGCTTGCAATTCATGCTGCAGACACGTGATGAATGATACAGCAATTTTGTAGGTTGCTTCTTTTATTTGCATGATTCAGAAGGTTTTTCCTTGCTCAATATAATAATTTTTAAACTGAAGTAGTAAGATCTTCATTTTACATTCACCGTAAGGAGATGAGTCAGATAAGCATTTGATATTACCTCTGTGTCTTTTATCAAAAGAAAAAAAAATTGAGTTTTCTTTACATTTGTCTGCTGGTAGAAGCTTTACTATTGTACACTTGCGATTTGCAGGTTTTTGCTACTCCTGAAACTCTAATTGGTTTCCATACAGATGCGGGGGCATCTTTTTATCTCTCACATCTACCAGGTCACTTAGGTATGCTTTTGTGGTTATTCATGCATGTTTAACTTGTTCATAGATTATTCAATTCGTAGTAAAAGGGGGGAAACAGTCAAGATAAGTCTGCAGATTTCTTTCTGACTGACAGAGAATACATATTTTAATAAAAATAATTCATGGGAATTCGTGAGTTTATTATGTGCAAGTCCAAAAATAATTATGTTACATACAGACAAGTTCTTGAGAGATTCCCAAAAGGATTTGATATCATCCTCAGAAGAAAAAAAATGACTCAATTGTCTTCTTTCTTCGTATGAGGTTGAGGAAGCATCTGAGTTATTTAGGCAAGGAATGATGTCGAGCAGCTGTTAAAATTGATATCATTTGCTTCTGCATTTGTAATGTACTTCAAGGTTCTAAATGTTGCTATTTCGGTCATTTTTGACAAATTGTGTAAGTTATAAATTTGTACGCAGGAGATTGTGTTCCCTCATTACTTTTCCAAATTTAGCATGCTTATGTCGTTTGCTGTTTGTAGGGGAGTTCTTGGCTCTTACTGGAGACAGGCTCAATGGGTCGGAGATGATGGCTTCTGGACTTGCAACACATTATTTGCATAGTTCAGTTAATTCCAGGAACCTTTTCCACATTTTTTGAAGTTTTAGATTGGTCTAGCTTTGTTATATAACCTTTGTGTTTTGTTTCCTTTTATCCTAGAGGCTTCCATTAATTGAAGAAGAACTTGGGAAAATTGTCACTGATGATCCCTCTGTCGTTGAAGCTTCTTTAGACAAGTATGGTGAAGTTGTTTATCCTGATGAGACAAGTGTGCTTCAAAGGTTTGTTATAATTGTATGAAAGGACTCAGATAGAAATTTAAGTTCTAAGGAAATTCTAGAATGTGTAAACTCGTCCCTGGAATCTCATTTCAAACAAATTTAAATGCATAAACTTTAAAGTTTAGGTTAAAAACATTTCGAACTGTCATTATGTACTCCTTTAATCAATATAATGGCTTTAACTCTTCATTGTCTTGTTTTTAGGATTGAGTTACTCGATAAATGTTTCAGCCACGACACAGTTGAAGAAATTATCGATGCTGTGGTAAGCACGTATCGATTTTATTAACTTCTCTTTAGTTCAGAACTGTTAAACCAATATAATATTTTAATGATAAATGAGTTTTCAGTGCTCTGATCAATTAAAATATTTGGGTTTATTGTCGTTCAAAATGTTTTGTTTCCACCTTAAAAAATGGTTACCGCATTGCCTTGAGATGGTGCTCTCGTTTTAAAATTTCTTTTTGTTTTGTTTACATTAAAGCATTTCCAGTGTCTGCGAAAACCAAATTGCTGATATGGTTCTGCTAGAATTGAACACTACTTAAAAGAGTTAAGGGATTCATTTGTAGGACCGTGTCTGTAGATTCTTTAGGTTTTCTTTCGCGTTCCATATTATGGTTGGCTCAAGTTCTTTTGGAAGATTGTAAGTTCCAACACTGACGGGTGCTTTTAATAATCACTATCAATGAATACGTTCTTGGACGGCATCTAATTGTGTGGATTAAAAAACTAATACGCAGGAATGTGAGGCAGGTAGAACAAAGGATGCATGGTGCATTTCTACTCTAAAGAGACTTAAAGAAGTCTCACCATTGAGCTTAAAGGTTTCCTTGAGATCTGTGAGTCTCTCCCTCTCTCCTTGGAAACATGTTTGAGTTGACGTTTGTTTAAACCTGTTGCATTATGTATACATATATGAGACCTGTCGCTTCGTTATTAATTGGCGCAGATAAGAGAAGGTAGATTTCAGACCCTCGATCAGTGCTTGGTTCGTGAGTACAGAATGTCCCTACAGGGTATCACTAAGCAGATTTCCAATGACTTTTGCGAGGTATAAATTCCTTCCGTTTTTTTCTGATATAATATACAGTAATGATTGGTAACTATATCTGAGTTGTTGTGGTCATTAGGGGGTTCGGGCACGAGTAGTGGATAAGGACTTTGCACCAAAGGTATATTTATTCTTTTACCGTCTAACGAAAGTGGGGTAAACAATATTTTCAGCTTTTTGATAACCAAGATATTGAGTGGCCATACTGTAACCCCAACTCTTTTATCTTTATTTCATATTGTCGATTCATATGAATCGTAACAGGATCGTGTTTCTGAAATATGCAGTGGGATCCTCCAAGTGTTGAACATGTATCCAAAGACATGGTGGATCAATATTTCTCCCCTCTTAGCGAGTTCGAGCCCGACCTCGAGCTACCGACGGAGTTGCGAGAAGCGTTCACCCAGTCCTAGATCCTCCTCCCAAGTCTCTAGTTTTATGTTATTGAAGCTGGGTGGATTCAAAGCATTTGGGTGAATTAGTATTCTTTCATGTTAGCTACTTCTTGAAATTGTACCAGCCCCTTGTTAATAAATAATAAATTTGTATTGAGATTATGACATTGGGATTTTTCTTCTTAGTTCTTTTGGGTGTTCTCAAATGCTTTCGACTTTTTCCCACCACAAACAAGCTCTAATCAACCAGACTTTAAATAAAAGGCTCTCACTATGCATTGTTTAGTGCTTAGCTGAGTTATACAAATTTTATCTCGAATACGCTTCAGAAAATAAAAAATAAGTTGTTGATTTAGTTTTTGAATTATTACCGATTAAAAATTAAGTTTCTGTTTTATATTTTGAAGAACTGTCCTTAAACTTCAATTTTCTTTATTTTGTGTTAGATCTGTTTCATCAAATTCTTTGTCAATTTAGTTATGAAAAGCTGTAAATCGTTCAATTATAAGTTTCTCGTAAACCAGGTATTTATACTTGAAAACTCAATCTAACTTAGTATTTATTCAAATTAAATTTATATTAATATAAATATGTCGTTGCATAGACAAATGTTAAAATTCAAATATGAAGTCGTGAGTACAATTTTGTTTTGCTCCCGGTGTTTGTAATAGGGTAGCGCATTTAGTGACATCTTTTGTGTTTAAGGAAGGTGGCTTTCATAGTTGGAATGATTTGAACTGAAGTGATTGTTCAACACTTTGGCATCTGATGTAAACGTTTCGATTCGAATTTAATCGAAATTTCTATAGTTTGAAAGAAAAAAAAAATCTAAATGAATATTTTTATAGGAAAACTAATAAAAAGGGTTTGAAAACTTTGAGTTTTAATAATAAAGACAAAATAAAAGGTTTGTGATTGACTTTTTAATGTAAAAATGTAATTTTTCGTTAAAAAAGTACGGTTTTCGTTAAAACTCCCTATTTTTATTTATAGATTTTTTTTTTTTCTTCTTCGTTGTTGTAATGTAAGGCGTATAACTTACGAGAAGGTTTGTCTTTGGGTGCAAGACCAATATTTAGAGGGTACGAGAAATAAACCCCAAAACCCTAAACCAATTCTCATCGTCTTCCTCCTCCCTCCGGCAGCTGCAACTCCGCCATATCCACTCTCCGGCAGCGCTTCCATACATCAGGCCCCCCAATTCCTCTTTCGCCTTCCCAAACATTCGGGGCAGTATTCTAATTCTACTCTGCAGAGAATGACGACTCGAATAGCTCCGGGAGTAGGAGCCAACTTGCTGGGCCAACATTCTGCCGAGAGAAACCAAGACGCCACTGCCTACGTCGGCAATCTGGACCCTCAGGTTCTCCTTCCCTTTCCTTCTACTTGCATTTTTCTGACTTGGGCTTTTCCATTTTCCTAGTGTTCGTGGCAAAATTGAGGAATTTGAGCAGCTAGGGTTTTACTTTTGTTTGATTTCTTCTAATTTCTTTTGATTGATTTCAGGTTTCCGAAGAATTGCTGTGGGAGTTGTTTGTTCAAGCTGGCCCTGTTGGTATGCATCTATCAAATCCTGCTTTTGTAGATTTAGATGGTTATTATGGGGTAATTTTTTTAAGGTCACAAAATATATTCGATATTAGGATTGAGTCCAACAACAATTTGCGCTTTTAAGTAGACATAAGAAAGTTTAGCAATCGGTATTTACCTTAGTGAGTGGAAAGTTGTTGTTATTGACCTTAATTGAAGAAGATAATTGTTTCAATTGACCTATGTTAGAAAATAAAATGACTATTGACCTATGCCGAAACATGAAATTATATATTGACTTAAATCAAATTTCCTTTTGTGGTATTTGTAGGCTTGTATGTGTGTTGAAACTTGCTAATGAAAAGAAAAATATGAACTCGATCCGATTGATATTGTGTTAATGTTTGTGCTTCTTCATCTTTCAGTGAATGTGTATGTTCCCAAGGATAGAGTGACAAACCTTCATCAAGGATATGGATTTGTTGAATTCCGTAGTGAAGAGGACGCTGATTACGTAAGTGTTGGCAATGAGCCACGATGTGCTCCTGTTCTTAAGTTACTCTTTAGCTCCTCTTTTTGTGTTGAACTTCTCTAATTCTGGTTATTGATTTGATGAAATTTTATTGCTATGCAGGCAATCAAGGTGCTTAATATGATCAAACTTTACGGCAAACCAATACGTGTAAATAAGGTATTGAACTATCTTTTTTCTAGTTATCACATTTCTGCATTTGGTGTGTTTTGTGCCCTACAGAAGCTAGTATTACGAGATCTCATTTAACAGGGGAAAAATCATTCTGTTGACCGTTCAGTCACTGTATGCCGCTGATCATGTATTTATTGGAATTTTGATGGATTGTGTTTTCTTGGTTTCAGGCATCCCAAGACAAAAAGAGCTTGGATGTAGGGGCAAACCTTTTCGTTGGAAATCTCGATCCTGTAAGTTGTTTAGTCATTCTCAAAATCTGTATTGTGAATAGATACTCTATGACATCTGTTCTAATGTTTTGCATTCTTACCCAATATTTCTTGTAGGATGTGGATGAGAAGCTTCTCTATGATACATTCAGTGCATTTGGAGTCATAGTTACAAATCCAAAGGTACCGTATCAGCATGTCTTTTCATTGGCTAACATTTTATGTTCAAAAAATTTTCATAAAATAACTTCTTGGAAAGTATTTTTATCATGTTTATAAGTTTTTCTTGTTTCATTGTTCCTTTTATATTAAAGAAAATGCTTTGCATAAACACAATTTTTGGTTTTATGAAATCCTTGGCTGTTATTGTGAAGTTATATAGTATTATGTTTGTGACTGTATTTGGAGGGTATATTCATGCAATATTCGGAGGGTGTATTCATGCAATAATAGTCATTATCAGGTATTCATTTTCTGTGTTAACTGTGATTCTTATGTGGACTGTAATGTTGGTAATTTTCTTTTCTAGATAATGAGAGACCCTGATACTGGAAATTCCCGTGGATTTGGCTTCATTAGTTATGATTCTTTTGAGGCATCTGATGCAGCTATTGAGGTATGTTTCTTTTACTGTTCTCTATTTTGTTTATTTTTTGTAAGCAAGCTGGAAACCAATAATATTTGGATAAGCAAGTGCTTGTCTCTTGTTACCAACTCCTCATAAAATTTGATAATATTTGAAGCATCTAAGGTTGGGCTCTACTTGTAAGTAATAGCTTAATATCTGCTGAGGACTGTTCAGGGTTCTGTGCTGTTATCCTTACGGAAATATAAAGGCTTGCGGAAATGTTTTCTTTGATTTTGTAGTCTCAAGTCTGAAGGATGTTATTTTGGTTGCATTATACATGTATCTAATGGTCTTTCTTTGTTGTGGCAATGCTTTGTTGAAATGGTCTTTGTCACGTGTTGAATTTGGTTTCTTATTTCTTTTTGTTTTTTTTTTTAATTTTGTTTTTTTTTGTAGGCAATGAATGGCCAGTATCTGTGCAATCGTCAAATAACAGTGTCATATGCCTATAAGAAGGATACTAGAGGAGAGCGTCATGGTACTCCAGCAGGTGAGGCCTCTTGTTTACTTAGCCGCTGCTTTAGTGTTTGTAATTTGTCTCGGTTACATGAAAGCTTCTACTTTAATAACACGAGGTGTTAGACCATGGTAGTTAAATGAATAATAGTGAGACGCGTACAACTTGTTTTTACCATGATGTGAAAAATGCAATGCGTTAAGTTTTTACTCAGGGTTCACTTAATTTAAAATCAAACAAAGGGAAGAACAACGAAACGAAGACTGTTTGTAGTTGGGTTAGCCTTTAGGGAAGACAAAAATTATAGATTTTAATAGGTAAACTTCATTATTGCTGGACAGTACTAAATTACCGCTATTACTTTGCAGAGAGAGTTTTGGCTGCAAGCAATCCTACTTCAAAAAGCCGGCCTCATACGCTGTTTGCTAGTGGTCCTCCAACACTTGCCAATGGTCCTCAGTCCAATGGTACCATGGGTGCTCCTGTGCCTCCACGACCTTTCGCAAATGGTGGTCTTGGTATTCCTCCTCTTCGCCCACCACCCCCGCAAGGCATGGCTTTCCCACCGATGCAGATGGCTGTACAACCAACCTGGCAAGGTCAGCCACAGCAACCAGGTCAAATGCCTCCACCTCAAATGCAGCAATTCAGACCACCGCCAAACATGCCGCCACCTCCTCCACAGTCCGCTCCGGCTCCTCCAAGGTCACTTCCGCCACCTATGGCTATGGGAAACCAACAACCTATGTGGCGACCGCCCCCTCCCCCTCAAATGAGGCCACCCAACATGCAACACGGGTCAATGCCCCCACCTCCGCCTCTCAATAACCCTCTGCCACCGCCCCCTATGAATTGACTTACCCGAACAATTTGGTTGTAGAATCTGTACTTCGGAAATTTTAGGACAAGAATGTTGAGGTGATTACTGATTGTTAGAGTCAGCTACTTCATTTTGTAAGAGTGATTTGAGAATATGCTTCCCTTTGTTTCTTCTTATTCAAGAGGTAATCGTTCAGTTGACCTACGTGACAATACTCGGTGATAAAATCTTACAGTTAAAAGTTGACATGTGAAGCCTGTGGATGTATTTAATTGAGAATTTGAGGGTTTTTAATTCTTGTAAAGAATTTAGGGTATTCAATTAGAATTTTAAGTGATTCTTTAAAATTCAACGTGTATTTAATCAGGATTTTAATATTAGGATTTCAAAGAAGTTTATAACATTTTAAGTGTATTTAATTAGAATTTATTTTAAAGAATCTTAAACAATTGAGGAATTTAAGAAAATTTGAGAGATTTCGTAGTGGAATTTAACCATTCACAAATCTCACCTCTCTTCCTAAGATTTCGAAAGAATTGAATCAAAAATTTTCAGGGAATCTGTACAAATCAATTAAACTCCCTTAAATCCATTAAAATCTCTTAAATTCTTAATTGAAAAATACACCCAGTCATCATTTCTTACTGTATTTCAATCGAAGACTTGTCACCCATTCTCCTAATTAAAACTAAACGACCCACTTAGCACCACAGTCCAATGATATTTCTCTTAAATTGAAAGCAAGAGATATTATTTCGAATACACCCCATCATCATTTCTTAATTGAACTCTCTTAAAAATTTTCATGGAATATCTACAAATTAATTAAACTCTCTTAAAACTCAATGGATTTATAAATCCATTAAAACTTTTAAAATTCTTAATTGAATACACCCTGTCATCATTTCTTAATGTATTTCAATTGAAAACTTGTCACCCATTTTCCCAATTAAAACTAAACGACCCACTTAGCACTACAGTCCAATGATATTTCTTTTCACTTGAAAGTAAGAGGTCTTAAATTAAAATATCATGAATAGCAAGTTCGATATCAATTTATTCCATCTACCTGCCTCTTAGTGTAAATATATCATTGTATCAAAACCAAATCGAAAAACAAAACGGGATGTTTTATGTATCACATAAGAAAACTATGTTCACATCATATAAGCAACATATTACAAAACACAATCCACGTACATACACACATAAAAGCAATAAAAGCGAGAGCAAGAATATGAACATGTAGCTAAGCATCAGACCATGTGATGTCGAGGCCACCCCAGTCCTCCTTACGCACACCCAAGGCTTCCCAGACCGCCTTTGAGGCATCAACAATGTTGTTAGGGCATGGAGGTTGGTAGTCATGCACTGCATCACATCCCATAGTAGAGTCACACTCATCCACCACCATCGCCACCACACTCCGTCCATTCGCACTAATCGTGATGTTGTTATGGCACCTTCCTCCGCCGTTGTACCATCCAGTAGACAGCGCCACAACGGGCGTGTTGTCATTGTGGTATTTGTTGTCGCATTCCGATGGACCGCCTCCATCGCCGCCTGCCTCAAAGCTGTTGAGAGTGAGATAGGCCTTGGTGTGTCCGGACAAGGGCGGCGAACAGGTGTAGGTTGTGTACATTTTTCCTTTGACACAGCAGTCAGAGTCATTTTCCGTGTTGCATTGTCCAGAAGGGGCCTTCTTGCCTCGAATTCGGCCGCTCGGACGACACTGCTGAGCTTCAGTGGCCAGGCAAATTGTTAAAAGGAGACTGATTGAGAAAATTGTTGAGCTCTTCATTTTTCTCTATGTTTCTCTTCTCTTTGTTATACTGGTGTGATATATATATATATATATATATATATATATATATATAGCAATTTCATAATTACCAAATTGACGTCGATTTGGCCTGTATTTTGTTGGTATTGTATTTTTATACAGTCTAACAACGAGACGTAACGGCGGTCATTCGGCACCCTCTTTTTCTTGCAAAACGACGTAGCAGCGGTTTCTTTTGCCAAGTTGATTACTTTTTTATAACCACCACAATCACTCTTCTTCAAATAGATGGAATCCAAATTAGTATTCCGTTGCAAGTTTAAAATTGTTTATCAGAATTCCCATTCGGATTTTGCTGGATTTTGGTCTTTCGAGTGATATCAAGGAGAGAAGAATTAACGCAAAACAAAGAATGCAGTTATCTCTCAATCAGTTTCACTTTAGACATTAAAACACTCTTCGGTTTACTTATTCAAAATGGGCAAGCTTGCGGTTAATATCAGAAGGAGCTCTATTAGAAATTTGAAATTACAAAGAGAATTATTTCTACACACATCTTTTCTCCTTCAGTACTTAATTCTCCTTTACATTATTCCATCAAAAGACTAGAAATAAACATAAGTGTGCATGAAAAAAAAATGGGGTGGAACTTATTTCCCATTTCATTTTTATTTATTTTTTTGGTAAAATAAGGAGGTGGATCACTCCAAAAACTAGCTCAAATAGTTATTACAAATAATTCGAGTCCTACGGACTCCCATCATATCAAATAATCGAGTTCCAATCCAATTAGTAGGATTATCAAAATAATGTTACCTAATATTCATATTATAGCTCCAATTTTGACAGTACCAACTACCATCATGTTATTCTTCAGATAAACATGCACTAACTCGCATCAACTATGGTACCATAAGTTGTCTCAATAGTAAGAGATGAAAACTAGTATCAATCAAATTATTGATTAAATTAAAAGCCGAATCCGTCTCTACACATAATCTTGAAATAATCTTGTCAACTGCAAATTTCAGTCCAGAATATAGCCCCCAAATTTCAGCGTCCACCACCTGACCTTTGCCCTTTATTTTACCAATAACTGGACAAATTTTAGGGAAATTTGCCTTGTTTCAATGGATAAATAGAGTCGAAGCATATTACAAAATTTATTAAAAATGGAGAAAAAGAAGAAAGGAAATGGATATTCCATACATCTATGAAGGACAAACTTTTAATATTTAATGGTAAATAGTAAAATTATTCAACCAAAAATAATGAAAAGGTGTAAACTATATGATACACAGTTGATGCAGAATATCAGCCTATAAGCAATTTAGGGTTGTTCTGGTCTTTCAAAATTATGGATCATGGAAATTACCTGACTCTTTCTTCCTAAAAAATTTAACAAAATTGAAGGTCGAAAAACAGCGTTGTATAAAAAACGGCGGCCTCCGGCAGGAGTAACGTATCGGTCGAAACACTTGCTGTTTAGCAGCAGTGGTGCTCACGTAGTTGTTTATCAATTCCATCTGCACGTCGTAAGCTATTCAGCAGCAGTGGTGCCCTTGTAGTTCTTGACTAGTTGAGCCTGCACATCATTAGAAACCGGCGAGTGCTCTTTGTACTCCATTGTGAATTCGCCTTTTCCCTGCACACACAAATATTTTTTAATCTTGCGTGATATTTTTTTCGAGTGGGAATTTGGGAAAATGAAAATTTTTGGACTAGAAAGAGAATGTTCTTCATTACCTGAGTCATTGACCGAAGAGAAGTCGAATACCCAAACATGTTGTTCAGAGGTACCTAAAGAGCCAATTACGTGATATTGTTTAATGACACGCACATAAAAACAGCCATTAATTTAAGGTAATGCAAACAATGCTAGAATCAAATTTAACGAGGTAATTTACAACATTTATAATGTTTATTTACGTAAGCAATTCTTCGAAACAGACGAATGCCAAATTAAAATTTAAATGCTAATGATAATAGCAAGAAATATCACATCTGCCAAATGTCTTGACAAAAATCAGACCATAAAATTGTTAAGATGCTTGGGGACACTAACTCCAACTGCAACGTTTTCTTTTCCTCAAATTTTCTTAGTGGCATTAAAATCAAACTGTGCAAACTACATGACCGAAAGCAATACTTACTTGGGCAGTAATAACAGAGTCATCTCCTTCCTGGTCATTTCCAATAATGATACCTTTTCTCCTATTGAATGACAGTGACAATATCTTCAGTTAATAAGTTGGTGATTAACCCATACATTTCGATTATCCAAGAAAAAATAGCGTATTTCATGAAAGTAGTTGAAAACACTCACTTGTTAAGATCACCAGCAACAGTACCCTGAAACTCTATCGGTACTTTCAATTCCACCAGCATAACAGGCTCTAATATCACTGGTCTTGCCGCCGTATAGCACTGTTTAAATATTTCAGATCTCAATATAAATAATAACCGGAGTGGAGAAAGTTTTGTTGCCAGTAAAATATCATAAAGGCAAAGAGAGTATGGGCTAAATCAATTATTCAAAGAATCACTCCAATGAAAGGATATGGCAAGGACCTTTCTAAATGCATATATTGCAGCTAATTTAAAGGCAAGTTCACTGGAGTCCACGGCATGGGAAGCGCCATCGGTTAATACAATACGAACATGCTCAACTGGATGTCCAATTAATGAACCCCTGCACAAGGGATAGCATTATGAGCAAACCAATAGCAAGGGACACACATTTAGACAAAGGCATTGTACCAATCTAGTAAATTTTACAGGGTAAACATTCCTGAAGACCTATCGGAGTATCTTTCTTTGTATAATCAACTCTTAAGAACAGGTAGGGGGGACTCACGAATTGGCTGCTTCTTTGAAACCCTTCTCAATGGCTGGAATAAAATTTGATGGTATAGCTTGTCCCACAATAATGTTTTCAAATTCAAACTTGGTCTGTGAGTCAGCAGGGAGTGGTTCAATATACCTGCAACATACCAATAGAAGAAGTAAAATTACAAACAGGTGAGAAAACACCAAATCAGATTTACAATTTACAAACCTGAGTACAAGTAAAAATTCATGTAAGTGTTGCATAACTACAATCAGATCCAATTATCATGCATATAAAGGCATCATTGGACTTACCCACATACCCGCCCATATTGACCTTGTCCTCCAGATTGCTTCTTATGTAAATAATCAAACTCAGCCCGCTGAGTAACAGTCTCTCTGAAGTTAACACGAGGTTTTCCAACAGTGGCATCAACCTGTTTAACAGGTATGAGAATAAGAATACAAAGTAAACTTTTAAGCTGCCTAACATCAATATATCTGACAATACATATTGCAAAATGAGAACAGGCCAGGCACCTTATATTCTCTCCGAATGCGTTCAACGTAAATGTCCAAATGCAGCTCTCCCATCCCAGAGATGATTGTCTACTCGAGGAACAGTAATGGTTAGGCACAACAACTGTTTCTTGAAGTGGAGAAAATATACTTTGTAGACCAGATTGTATAATAGGATCATATTAAACATTCAAATATCAGACCTGTCCGCTCTCAGGATCCAAGCCAACACGAAATGTTGGATCCTCTTTCTGAAAACGATTCAAAGCCTTTGAGAACTAGCAAAAAAGAAAGAAATAGACTGACGTAAGTACCACTGAATAATAATACACAAAAACAACTCATCAACACACAATATCGAAAGAAATCTGCTCACTTGTCCTCCAGAATCTTTTGAAACTGGTTGAACAGCTAACGACATCACTGGCTCGGGGACACTCATAGAAGTCATTGTATATTTAACCGACCCATCAGTAAAGGTATCTCCTGAAGATACAAGAAAATATGTCTCAGAAGAGATTAATGTTAATTAAAAATAAATAAATAAAGACAAATAGAATGTTAATATCCAGGTCATAAGGCTTCGCCCAAATTAGTTCTCATGCACACAATTAGACAGTTATGACTTAACTTTGACTCAGAAAATTTAGGTTTTTTATGACTCTATTTAACTTCCATTTTGATTAAATTAAATGAGACTGTACTCCTTGCTCTTAATCTCATACAAGGAAAACGCAGCTAGTGTAAATCGAGTAAATGTATATCTTTCCTTTATCTATTTTAAAAGAGAAAAACTGTGATTCCTGCCCTTGAAAAGAAGTCAAACCTGATGCACAGTCCACTCCAAAAACAGCAACGATTTGCCCAGCATGTGCCTCTTGAATATCCTGCAGATGAAATGCACCACAAAAAATGATGACATCAGTGAAATGGCCATTTAAAGTCTAAATTGCAATAACTTTAAACATAAAACTAACCTCCATCTCATTGGAATGCATACGAACCAAGCGAGGAACCTGTTTCGTGAAAATCAAACTCAGCAAGACATAATTGATATGAAAAATCAATTCCAGAAGATAGATGAAAAAAAAATGGTAGCACAATACAAATATTGCAAATTAAGATCCACAAAGGCACAAAGGCTTAATTTGAAATGAGAACTATGGGGACACAACAGAATATTCCTTGAACTCACCTTAATCCTTTTACCGGTATTAATGTTAAAAATAAAATCACCCTTCCGAATGACACCTTCATAGATTCTACACCAACAAAATAATTGTTAGATACATAAATACAAAAATAAGAAAAGCTATGCTACCGTTACAGCACATCTGGGGGGATACCTTAGATATGTTAACTGACCAAAACGCCCTTCCTCCAATTTGAAAGCCAATGCTACAAGAGGCCCATCCGGAGTTCCACCTAATGTAACCTACATCATTGCGGAAGTTCTTTTATTACCCAGGCAGGTTTGGAGAATGAAAAAAGATATCAGAATTAATTTCCATCAACTTAATACCTTCTCTTCATCATTAGTCTGGTCAAGAGCATAGTTACTGACTTCAGTCGGACAAGGCAAATAATTAAGAACAGCATTCAAAAGTGGCTGTACACCCTGTAATCCATAAATGGCAGAAGATGAAGAAATTATTCAGAGGCACAAGCAAGTAGCATATACAGAATCATTTGCAACTGGTGAAAAAGGATAAATACTATTTATAAGAGGAGCAAAAAGTCCCTAAACAGTAAATACAGACAGATTAGATATCTATACCCACTGGGCAATCACCAAATTATCTGTTCAGAAACAACATATTATTTAATCTAGGAGCCACTACTGTATAAAATATAATGCAGTGTAATCTTCAGCAATCAAAATTATTTGAAGACGTTAACCCAAAGGCAGTTTGAAGTTGAGTTATGGGGAATGGCAAGATAATGTAACCACTTATGCACATATCAATCAAAAGGAATAGGTATTTAAAATAAAAATTAAAGATCAAAAGACAGTACCTTGTTTTTAAATGCACTACCCATGAACACAGGGATAAACTTCCTTGCTACAGTAGCCCTCCGCACAGCTTCCTACTCAAAAGAGAAAAGAAGTTTTCAAATAGATGCACAACGAATTTCCATTGAACAAAAAGATATAGATGCACCACGAATTTCCATCAAACAAGGAATTTCCATTGAACAAAAAGAAGTTTTCAAATAGATACACAGAAAGATATAGATGCACAATGAATTTCCATTGAACAAAAACAAACAGTAGAAATATCACCACTTAGAATTTCATTGAAAAATATGCCAAACCATCACCACAGTAAAAAATAAAAAATCACCGAAACCAACATAAATCGAGACAAAATACTCCATAACACATTTCATTTTTCACAATTTTTCTTTCGAATTTTATCCAAAGTACCTCAAGATCAGTAGGTGATATGGGCTCATCATCAAGGAATGCTTCAGCTAGTTTGTCATCAACTTCAGATACAACTTCAATTAGCTCGCGCCTCTTTTCTGTGACGAACTCCTCCATATCAGCAGGAACTTCTTCAGTAACAATGTTTTCACTAAAAAATGCAACAAGACAATAGGAAAAAAAATTAGAAACGGCAATACACATTCAAAAGGCACAATGAAAACACAATAGCATTAAAAACAGACCCATTGGGACCATGAAAATAGTAAGCTTTCATCTGCACAAGGTCAATAAGACCCTTAAAATCTTCTTCCAACCCAATTGGAACTTGCATGGCAGCACTGTGATGGCGGAGCTTAGCCCGTGCCTGCAGGAGAATCAATTTCATTACCACAACAGTTTTAAGGTCCAAAAATAAAAATAATTTATGTATGATGTACAACTATCCTATCAAATTTCATAACTCAATCATCAAGGGAATCTAGCTTGTTACGGATTCTTAGCTGAAACTTGTGGCATTTAGCTTGCTACTTGAAATGTTTAAAACAAAATGAAAACCCACGCCTCTGTATCAGGTTGTTGCACAAATTTACAACCATGCATTCGGCAACCTACTGAAAATGAAGCTGATGCCAATCAATCCAACTAAAGACTATTCATAATTCCTACTTAATTTAATCACCTAAATCTTACAAACAACAATTATATCAACTGAAGACTTTTACATCCCTAGAAATAGAGATATCAAAACACGTAACCATCAAAATCAATTCCTTCTGCCGGGTGTACAACATAACTGAAAAGCTCAGGACATAATAAGATGGCCAGTATCCTGAGACATTAATTAGTGGTTTATGTTCAATATGACAAAGGAAACAGTACTGAATGCTCTATGTTCGCTTGCTGAAAAACGATTAATAAACCCCAAATTTTGTGATATTTCCATGATTAGTTGATTTCAAAATGTACCTGGTTCAGAACTTTCCAGGGATCGGCTCCCATTCGGTCAAGTTTGTTTATAAATGCAATTCTTGGAACCTCATATCTTTTCATTTGCCGATCAACAGTAATTGACTGACTTTGCACTCCACCAACACTACAAAGGACAAGAATGGCACCATCAAGGACACGCAGAGCTCTCTCAACCTCGATGGTGAAATCAACGTGACCTGGGGTGTCAATTATGTTAATCTGCAATACCAAAATACAGGTTCCATAAGATACATAAGAACATGCAAATGATGAAAAAAAATAAAAAGAGAGAGATTATTTCATTCTGGAATGAAAAGTAAGACTCCTAACCTCACTTAACTTTTGGACAATAAATAGTTTTACTGAAGAGAAGGCAAGAAACGAAATCATGATCTCAATCTTACTTGATAATTTCCAACAATTTATTTCCTTTTCTAGCAGCATACAGTACTTAATACCGGTTGTTCCAACTAATGCCAAACAAATGTAACATTTTATTTTTCTCTTTACTCCTTTTGTTATTCCCAGGTCTTAACCGAAATCTAAAACCCAGGTCCAAATTCCACAGCCTGTCTTCCATGAAATCAAACTCACTCAAGCCTCTTACGCATTCAAAGTACAGTAGACAGAAGCAACAAACAGAATTGCAATTCAATCTTCTTGTATAGTAAAATTAGCACTGATTCAGAACATATATTTATCTTTCTTTCGACTCATAATTTTAGGACTTCATAATTAAATGAAATCAACAGGTAAAAGAACTTGGTAATTGCGACCCACACTGATTCTGGCAGCATACAAGTAATAAGCAGCATATCAAAGCGATCACCTCTCCATTTTCAACAAATTCAAAAAACTGAACAACCCAACTTATTAAAAACCATTGCCAATCATTAAAATAAGTCCCATTTCATTCAAATTCCATTACTTTTCAGGGCAACGAAAAGGAAAAACCCAATTGCAATCACCTGATAGCCATTCCAAGTACAGTAAGTGGCAGCAGACTGAATGGTGATCCCCTTCTCCCTCTCCAAATCCATGGAATCCATTTTCGCACCCACGCCGTCTCTGCCTCGAACCTCGTGAATCTCGTGGATCTTCCCGGTGTAAAACAGAACTCTCTCAGTGAGGGTGGTCTTGCCGGAGTCGATGTGGGCCGAGATTCCGATGTTCCGAAGCTTGTCCATGGAGTCCTTCCACCATGGCTCCTTGTCCTCCTTGGCGCGCGCGAGGTTGCCGGAGGAGAATTGGCGGAAGTGGAAGGCGCCGACGAGGAGGGAAGACGCTGCCGATGGGGACGGGGAAGGAGGAGACGTCGCCGTTCTAGATCTGTAGAGGGTGTAAAGGAGGCGTGGCGTGGAGGGTGGAGGGAAGCGCGTCATGGTTGTGGGGGTCTCTGGTTTTAGGGTTTATGGGGGGTTTGAGGTAAAACCCTGAACCCTTTAGCGGTCCTCTCTGTCACTGCGTGTGTTGCTGCTCCAGGTTTTGGGGGCGAAAATGCTAAAGAGGGGCTCGGGGAAGGGGGCGGCAAAAGTAGAAAAGTTATGTCGGGTCGGGTCGGAATATTCGGACTTGGGATCCAGTGGTGGCATTGATTGGGAACAAATTTTATGCCTGTATTCCACCGACAAGTCCTGAGTTCGAATTTTGGCACCGATGATTCACATGGTGATAATCAGATAGAGGCTGAAATATCTCTGTGAGTCTTCCCAACCGAACCCCGAAAAGGTAGATTGTTTCGACGAAACTACTAGCTGATCCCTTTTTTTAAAAGAATAAAGAACGCACAATGATTAAGAGTCTTTACTCACGTACTTGAAGTCTTTGGTTTGATTTCCTTCCTCCACTCTATCACTTGTGTAAAAAAACAATAGTGATGAACTCCAACAAAGAGAAACTACAATAAGACATAACGAGGCCTAGAGATTCCAGCACCAACGGCCATCAGAAGATGTCAACAAGAGACGCTAGGTCAAAATAAACTAGATTAAGAAAACACGTTGAATTCAGACACGGGACATCAGCCGCAAAGTTGTGGTGAACTCCCAACAAAGAGATCTACAATAAAACATAACGATATCTAAAAATTTCAGCACCAACAGCCATCAGAAGATGCCAACAAGTGGCGCTTGGTAAAAATAAACTAGACTGAGAAAACATGATAAACTCAAACAAGGATCATCTGCAAAGTTGTGGTGAACTCCCAACAAAGAGAAATTACAATAAAATATAATGAGACCTAGAAATTTCAACACCAATAGCTATAAGAAGATGACAACAAGAGGTGCTTGGCCAAAATAAACTAGACTGAGAAAACCATCAGCCGCAAAGTTTATCTCACGATAATGGTGAGTTTTACAAATCTTTCCTAGTGTAAAAACTCGAGTCAAACATGCACCAATTAGCCAAGAGGTTGATAATACAAGAAAAAATCCTTGAAGTTTCTAGCTTACTTTTTGAATTAAAATTTGATAATATTGCAAAGATGTGACAAAATATAAGGCAAAATCATGGGTGCAATGAAATTGATTTTCAAATTGACGCCAATAACAATTCTCGTTGGCAAGATTTTCTTTTTTCTCAAAAACCTGCAGATTTCGCATCCTAACAACGCATCCCGGGTCATCAAAATTCTGCACCGGTTAATCTTCTATGGACTCGATTCATAACGAAAGGGAATGCTACACAGGCTGCAGAGCCAGCTCCATATTGGTGTTTGGATGACCAGGAGACTCTGAAGACGAAGCTTCAGCGTCCTTCTTCTCGCCGGAGTCCATCTCTTGAACCGGTGGAGGGGAAACAACGGTCATTGTTGTGGTTGTGTTATCAGATAAGTGGTTCCTCATCTCCCTGTGCTCTTGACAAAGAGCACACCAGTGCATGCAGCAGTGCACCATGCATGGATCACACGGTGAATCCTGCAGATAGGTAAAAAATTACTTAAGGAAAAAGCTCTGAAGGCTCGAAATCCTTCTTTTTCTCATGGTATGTAGGGAAACTCGTCGACAATTGAAAGTTTTGCTTTATCTGAAACATCAAGCAAATATATGAAAGTACATGATGTCAAAGTAAACACCGATTAAGAAACGATAATCTTCTATGTAAAATCAGCGAGCAAGATTCATGGCAGACGATATAGATGATTGATTGAGAATATTGAAAAGGCAATTTAAGTTCAGCTTGAACCGGAGGCAAAACACACACACACATGCCCGCCCAATGCACGTCTGCATATTAATTCCGGCTATCATTTGGAGAGTCCCAAATCAACATTTCATCCTAAGACATCAATTCTCCATCATGAGCTGTACATTAAATGTCAGAAAACATAAATTTCGCCTAATAAAAGTAGAAGATAAAGGAAATATATCTGATTTGTCATCCTATTCGTTCATGTTTTCTGATTTATTTTGCATGTAATTTGAAGAAAAAAAATATATAGGAACTGAAATTCACCTTGAGATGATATTTCTTTTGCAATGACTGCCTAAACAGACCTGTGTAGATTGCACACATCCACCAGGCAAATAGCAGTGTCTCGCAGATGAGAACTGAGGTCTTAGGATCAACACCGTGAAAAAACGCTGTTGCTGCTGCAACTGCAATTCCTCCTTCAACGCACATGGCATGGCAAACACAAGCATTGTTCCAAGGAATTTCTTCTCGTATGGTTTCAACATTACGCCCAAACAACACGCATGGACAGAAAAGTCCAGTCCAGCCTTCAGCACAAACACAAAAAGTAACGAATTATTAACTAATGACCATGGAAGTGTGAGTAATAGGAGATAATCCATGAAGGTAGTGACTTCTATCTCGTCCCACTCGACCAGATATTCTGAAATCTAAGAAATTTTTCCTTTTTCATCCAAAATCTAAACAAATTATCATCTCAGCAAGAACAATAAAACACTCCTCCTCGTTGCTATGCAAAGCCTTATGACCTGATGAGGTGAGAAAAGGTTGCATTCCTCAAAAAACAATCTTGCATAACGGACAATGTAAACTTCTACTTTCTAAAACATCGGGTCGCATTTAACATTGTTCATCTTGTGTGATTAAGGTAATCACTGAAAGTGAAAAAGTGATAAGAGCAAATGAACTCTTACAACTCTCAGGATCTTGAGCACAACCAAATATCCCGGTTGTCCAATCTTCATCAGCTGGGGGTTGGTATCTTTCCGGTAGGGCTTGCCCACATTCCAAGCACTTCTCGACACCTAACTGTCAAAAGAACAACAAGAAACACAGTATCCCAACATTAGATTGAGGTCTCACAGTGAATATATATATATATATATGTGTGTGTGTGTGTGTGTGTGTATGTATATGAGTACAATTTATAATTAACCCCCGAACAAAAAGTTCATCCGCTAATTGACGTTGCTGAATTTAACAAAATGTGCACCGATTTTAAACTACTCTAACAACGAAGAGGGGTGATTCAAACTGCAAAACTTATAATCTAGAGACAGAGGAAACGTCTGCATGAGTGTTGATTATAACCAAACCGATGAGCTATGAGAACGCATGCTCACGAAATCTCTAAGAATTCGAAAACCAACATCCAATCTGCACCCAAAAAATAAAATCAGAATAAGGACCTGAGGAATATGAATGGGCTGGTTGAGCTCTCCAGGGGTGATATCCTCGGATGGCGCTTCTTGTTCCCTCGTTAGCTTCACGTACCTCGATTGCGGATTCCCTTCTGCCATCTCCTTCTTCTACATTCATATCAATCTATATAAACACACGCATATATACAAATATACATATACATACATATATATAAATACACACACACATTATTTGATCAAATAAGATGGAAATTAGAGAGGGAAAATGTACCTTGAGATTGAAGAAACGGAAAAATTACTCCAAAACGTGGAGGATTTTTTTGAGGAATTGTGTCCAAATCTGTTTCTGAACGCAAGGCGTTGTCTTCGGCTCTTCATTCACTCTCGAACGCCATGGGCCATATGGGGTTCTCCAAATTCTGATACCACCCATTGTGAATGTTCGTAACACTCCACGTGTCCTTTGTTCCCCAAGGGAAACTGAAATTACTCCAAAATTTTATTTCACCCTTTTAACCCTGCGCCGCACACACTGTTACAACTCAGTATTCATCTTTGTATCACACGAGGGAATTATAAGCACACACCTGTTTTAACCTCTCAAATATTCTTATTTAATTATGTCTTGTTATTGTTTGATTTATTGAATTTAACGGCCACATAAAAAAAAGATATGGTAGTTGAGAAGTTAAAACTTGATGTGTGAAAATCATCTTTCTATGTACATGAAGCAAAATCCATCGACCACAACACTATTTCCAACCCATTTGGAATTGCTTCTCTATAAGCTTTTGTGCTCATAAGCATTTTTGCTAGATGTATGTTTAATATAAACATGCTGAAATTTTTATTGAATCAATTATCAAGGTGTTTCCTAATGAAGCATATTTTATGAAGAGCGTCTACTACCCATAAATGCTTATCAGTTTTTTGATCAAACGTACTTAAAAAACGTTTTGGTTGTTAGAAAACACTTTTAGCCTTTTCAGAAGCACTTCCAAATAAGATGCAACTATTTTCCTGAATGATGCTCTCCTGCACATCAAAACACAAAAAGCAAACATTCAAATTTAACCAAATCTCTTTCCTTTTTTTCTTTTTTTTATAAAAAAAAAAATCTTAAACCGCTCACTCGTGAAAAATAATGCACTGGGGAGAATTCCGCCATTTCACATTTACAACAAAATCAGAGATGTTCTTGTCCCCGGCCCAAAAGCTATGGGCATGGGCTTGTAGATGAGTTATATCGTATTACAAGAGAAAGGTGTTGATTCGTTGACGTGTACATATGAAAACCAACACTGACAAGAACCTAGATTAGTGAAGAAATTAAGAAAAAGGAAGCCATAGCCAATTAGGCAATTAGCCATGGGAGGAGGAACCATGCCTATCATCCACGTCAGACATTCTTCTTCTTCTTCTTCTCTCCTCCTCCTCAAACAATCTTCCAGTTCCATCCTAGTAGCAGCGTTCAAGTGGGACCCATCACACCCTCGTGCACTGGTTCATACTGCTTCTGTGACTCTGGGAGTGAAACCTGCAGAAAACAAGTACAAAACAAGAGAGCAAGTCGGACGCCGTTGCTGAGCTCCGTTTTTGGTCCAGTTCCGTCCCGATTCGAAGTCGAAAATGCCATCCTTGCTCTTCTCAGGTGATGAGTACCATTAATTTTGCAGAAACACGATTTTACTAGACCTATATTAAGTAAGAAAGTGGTATTCATGAAACAATTTTAAATTCATGGGCTTTGAATCCCACGTCGCGAAATCAAGGTACCTTGCATGTGCTTATAAATAATTGGAACTTCAACTTGCTTCGTAAATGTTAAATTTGAAAATAACAGGACTAATTAGCTTGATTTACTCTTTGGTTTAGCTAGTTTTCTAATGATATAATTTGTATAACCATATTTTAACTTTATGTTCTGGTAAACCGATGAAGCTTTTAGGGAAATATCTTGTTAATGAAAAAGAAGGGAGAGAAAATTGGGTTCAGGAACCGCCTTATTAATTATATCAAAACGAACTAATACTATGGTCTCGTTTGGTGTTAAGGATTTTGGGTTGGAACCAATAACTCGCTAAATTCAACGAATGTTGAATGAAGGAATGGATGTCAAAACTGAGGCGTAAGCGATTGAATATGTCTGATCATGTTTTCTTGTTGAGCAGTTTTCTGCAGGGAATAACTAGTTCGTCTCACTCAGAGTTGCAGTGGCTTCAGCCGATATTAGATTCTTGTGTTACAAGAAAATTGCTATCTTATGGACACGGAAAAGTTTACGATGCTTTCCAATCGTTGCAAACTGATCCTTCTGTTAAGGTGCTGCCTTGTTTTTGCCACTAAATGCTTATCCCAAAAGTGCTTCGACTCTGCTTTTTTACGGTTTTTTTTTAACTTTTGGGTTATTTTTCTTCCCTCAATGGTGCTTGAAAAATCAAACTTGAGTGTAGAGGATGGTGGTTTCCCTGTCGTCTGATAGAGCCCTTTGGGATGCGGTTACCAACAATGAGTTGGTTAAGAAGCTCCGAGAGCCTCCCTCCTCCGGTATGCATTTCCGGCAACCTTGAACTCAATTTACCTGGTGTTTTGCATCTTATCATGTTTTAGGAGAATTAAGTTGAAATTGAGCTGAACTTTCTAATTTAGTTTTACTAATTTATATACATTTCTACAGATTTATCTGTGTGTGGGAATGAAGGGCTGCTGCCTCAGAGTTCAAACCAAGAGCCAGAATTCGCTAAACGCGTTATGAGGTGGATTATGGACATCACAAGAGCAAAAGTTATGGAGCTCATTGAGCAGTTTCAGTCACTTGTGACTGATATATTTCTGCCGCCGGAGACTCTGCAGGAAAAGAACCCGAACCCGCCGGCCAACGACACGGATCAGTTTGAAGAAAAAGTTAGATCCTCATTGCTTCTCACCGTTGTTATCCTCTTGATTGTGGTCGTCGCACGATTCCGCGGAGCTTGATCGCCGGATCTGCTCCGGAAACATGTTTGTACAAATCACATCGATCATAACTCGCTCTCATTCGTGCACATGCATTACTTCAAACACTGTTTTGTGAGAATAAAGTCGCAAACTATCTTTTGACAATTATGTAACACTGCATAACTGAGAGGGAGAAAATAAACCGATCGCCATCATGTGTTAAGATTTGTGATCGGTAACACCGAGGGGCGGTGCTTCTGCCACGTACAATTTTTCAGCGCCACGGTGGTTTCATAGAGCAGTCAATTACACAGAAGAAGTAGACATCACAAAAATGTCGATAGAGATTTGTATATCTGAACATTTATGCACCACAAATGGTTATTACGAAGAGTATTTAACATACACTAAACTTCGAAACTGATGTGTGGGGGAATTGAAGGTGGTTTACAATTCCGATGATCACAACATCCAGTATTTTGGAGCCATTAATTCGCGATCTGCAGCAGGACCTTCATTGGCGAGCTTCTGAATTCGCGAGGAGAATTCTTCGGCCTGATGGATTGGAGGAAGGTCAGTGTTGCCATTAAAGAAGAAACCAGATCTCAAGCATGTAGATGAAACAGTACACATATTTTAAAAAAAACTTTTCTCTGCACACTTCAATTGTTGTAATCATCACGTTGTTTTCTCCCATAGGACCAAAATACTGATGAAATATCACTAATGAGATAAATTACAGGAATTTTTTTCAAGCAAACAGTACAAAAGATTTTGATGAAAACGTTGAATCTACTAGTGATACCAAGGGCCTTCTCATAAATTGAGACCATGCATACAATAAGGGGAGTCGGATAATCTTAAACTCTTCATACCGTGTATCTTACTCCTAGTTACTAATAAAACTGAGGACACAGTGCACCCTCTTTAGATACTAACAACGACAACTAATAAAAAGTCATGCAAAAAGATACTAACCTTTTCATCAATCCACATTAAAGAGCTAAGCTGATTGTTTAAGATTCGGACAACCACATCTAACGGAGCCATACCATCATTTGCATCAAGTTCCCCTCCCTAAACAAAACAAAAACATTAGTATAATCATCAACGTATGCGGTCAAAGATTCTTAATAAGTATAACACTAAACTGAAATAGTTACCTGGTTCGCATTTAAGGTCTGAATAATTGATTTGATCTGTTCTGTCACCTGCTCTAGTTCCCTCTCTACAAACTCAGCTTGCTCATACCTGCGATTGAAACCATAACAATAATACAGAAAAAAAAATTCAGGACCATTGGCATGCTTATAAACTACAAAAAGCGAGCAAGACCCAAAAGGGAGGAAAACAGGAAGAAAGAATGTAGTCTGCGTGCGTATGTACTATGTGCATACACTTATGTGACAGAGCAATCAACATGCCAAAATGGTTATGGTTATCCTACTAACTTTTCACCATAATTCCAATAGGACTAGACAAAACCTCTTACAGGATTGTCAATAAACGGATTAATCCCAGTAAAGAAACAATAATTGGCTAGTTCACACCCAAACAATCTATTCCCTATGTCCATATCAGGCCGCAAAACTTATTCAAGCAGGAGCATACTTCGCAACTTGATTTCAAGAATGGTAACAGCAAAATGTACAGATTGCCTAATGCAACAGACAAAAGTAGTACCAGAACAGAGAAGCACAAATACAACTGGTCCAATACAGATAGCATAAAGCAGCCTAAAAAATTTCCATCAGATAAAATAAAACAAAAGCAACATTACAAAAACTCACATTGCATCTCTTGTGGATGCAGCCTCATCATCACGGAGCAATCCATGTTCATCCTTGTATATACGCTCAGCTTCTTCTTCCATGCTTTGCAAAGCCTTATCAACCTAACAAGACAAAATAAAGAAGGAACATTACCATACATATATGTTTTCATTTGCTGTAATCCATTGACAGCTGGGTTTATTCTTGGGGATAAAGGGGAGAACATAATACCTTTAGGTCACAAGGACCATCTACAAATTTCTTTAAAACTACTAGTCAGTGTTTTAAAAAACTAGTTTTAAGACTCGCCTAGGCCCTTTTTGAGGTGGGGCTACACGCCTCTGCCCAGCGGGAGTGGCTATAGACTAACCTGGGCGTTTCATTTTTTTTCTTTAATAAAAAAGCCAGTTTTGGGCAGGGTTTTTATAAAATTCATGCTAATTTTATGTTTCTAACCTAGTTTCTATTAGTTTATTATGACTTTTTGATGTGAATTGAAGAAATAATGATAATAGCTAAATATTTGATTGCTTGGCATGCTTGCTTGATTGTTTTACAATGTATTATATTTTATATATTAAGTATTATAATAAATTTAGGTACCGTGAGACTATCACCTCACACCTCGAGCCTATCACCTAGGCGAGGCTATCCATGAGATGCCTTGACTTCACCTTCACCTTTTAAAACATTGCTACTAGTTTGAACTAATAAGTTTCTAAGGATCCGCTTTAGGGCTTGAAACACTAAAAAGAGAATATTTAATTAAAAAAATGACGACCCCAAACCCAAAGATATCTAGTTAATGTGTAATATTGTTTTATATAGTCCTGGTTGTGTACATCTATGGGATCAATTGCCTAGTGGTCCTAGAAGAAGAATAAAAGAGCAGCTTCATATATAAAGGAAACATTAATTATGATGCATCAGTATGTGCTATATACAAAGACTGACATAATGAAGACTATTCCAATTAGTGCACTACTCTAAAGTACCTCTTGCTGATGAGTCTCAATTAACTCTAGTTGCCGCTCCAAGTTAGCTTGGGTTTCAACCACTTTCGCCACTTCAATCTAAATAATTATAACATGCAAGTCAAACATTATTATTAATCATTGCAACTATTGAACAAATTCATATTAGTTCATGTGAACAGTGTTACTAAACAATGAAAATACTAGCAGAGAAAGCAAAAGAGAAAAGCATAGGGGCCGTTTGATTACCATTTTGTTTTGCAGTTTTTACTTTTCACTTTTTTGAAAACTGAAAACATTATTATTAATCATTGCAACTATTGAACAAATTCATATTAGTTCATGTGAACAGTGTTACTAAACAATGAAAATACCAGCAGAGAAAGCAAAAGAGAAAAGCATAGGGGCCGTTTAATTACCATTTTGTTTTCACTTTTTACTTTTCACTTTTTTGAAAACTGAAATCTTGTTTGGTAACTACTTTCAATTTTCAGCTTTCAAAAAAAATGAAAGCTGACAATTAATTCCCTGAGTTTTCAAATTTGGCCTTGAGTTTTCATCTTTTGGTTTTCAGTTTTCAATAGTTACCAAACAAGATTTCAACTTTCAGTTTTCAAAAAAGTGAGCTAAAAACAAAAGATGAAATGATTATCAAACAGCTCCATAGTAGAACAAGAAGAAATGGGGAAACCAACCAAGGGATACACAACTAAGTAGTCTTTTTATCTTCAAACAAAAAAAGAAGGAACTGAGACTGATTGTGCAATGTTACATATAAGGATAATAGTAATAACACAATGAGTAAAAATACTGCTCACTGAAGGATATCAACTAAATGAAGTTACTAATGTATCATAACTGAAAATCATATAGCTGTTAACCAGTCTACCCAAAATTTTCTAATATATTGGGAAACAGATCACCTCAAGCCTAAGAAGAACATCACGGTTGTGCAAAATCCTTTTGTCCCAATCTGCTATTGCATTAGCCTGCTTTCGGAATTTTCCAGTACGCTCTTGAAGCTCAGCATTCCACTCCTTGATGATCTTTAACCAAAAGAAAAAAAAATTACTTCATATGTAATAGATTATCTCAGAGAACAGAAAGAATTTAACCCTGTATAAGTATAGAGTTATACTGATAATAGAGTAGGGTAGAGAAACTGGTCTTCTAAAAAGTATTTCCTTAAAGAGATGTCACACTTTTTAAGTGGATTTGAAGAATGATTATAATAATGATGAACACGACATGCAGAGGACGATAAATTCAGTTGCATATGTTCAGGGTTGGTTCAAATTTGATTTTGCATAAACAAAGGATTTTCTTTAATATCTTTTCAATATCAGGACTAGCCATTCAAGGAAAAGCTTGCCCCTTGTTTAAGCTAGTAGGAGTTTGTAGTGTGAGATGATGCATGTGTGGCATAATATTTGCCTTCACCGCACTGGTAGAATCGTCCAGATTTTTCAGTCATAAACTAAACATATGCAAATAACTAAAGTGGCAACTCAGTCATATAGCCATGTTATAAACAACACTACTTGTAAACAAAAGGCAAACATTTAAAGTACCTCCTCCACAGTCTTCCCTGTGATTTCAGACGGTAATTTTGGTGCACTAGATAATGTAGTGTTGACAATTGAAGTTGTCCTATAGAACAAGCAGGGCAGAAAAGCACAAGTCAGATAAAACTCCATAATTTCTAAAGATCCGAGCATATTGCACAAAACCTTTTTCTATTTCCAATTTGTGGTTGGGCAGAAAGAAAAACTGTTTATAAGATGACCTATTACAATAGATTAATGTTAAAGCAAAGGAGGTAAAGCATAATGCGCCAAGAAGTTGAACTTTGTTGTACGGGGAAAATACGGTACAAGAAAGTTTAGATGTATTAAAAAACAATAAATGAAAGTTAGAAACAAGGCCAAGTACGCATACCCACTAGTAGAAGCTGCAACAAGTGATGTTGATGTCTGAGTTGCAGCAGTACTTGTAGTGGTTGTTGTAGCAGTTACAGGGGCTGAAGTACCGACACCTACAGAATAGCACTTTTGCACGGTTACAATTTATCCGGACCCTTCTAAGTAACTAACGCTTTTGAGATAAGCATACATGAGTTGTGGTTCAACAAGAATGAGGTTCTCAAAATCGCTTTTTCACGTGCCTTGTCTACGGAGTTACAATTTCGAACACCGATCACAACTCAAAATGCTCTAAAACAAATGAACTCAAAAGTTCAAAGCCATTCGCAACATAATCCCGCAAAGCAATTCAGTGTTCTTCTAAGTTCTACCCATACTCCTAATATTGATTCGAAATGCTTAACCAATTTAAAGACAAATAACCACAATAGAAGCTCTGATACAACATTAATTGAAAAGTGACAAAAGAAGGTTGAGAAAACTCACCCAATGCAGGCACGGTAGTGCTTGGTTGTGCTTGAGACGATGGAGCAGGTGTAGACCCTTTTGTCAAAGACAAAAAGGCAGCAGAAGAAGCAGTAGCTCCTGAAGTAGTTTGGAAGGAGAACGAGCTTACAAGCGAGCCCCCGGAAGAAGCTGCTGAGCTCACAGGGGCCGCCATTGGAGCCGTTGTTGCAGCGGTGCTAGAAGCCGGAGAAGTAGCAGGAATCACAGCAAAAGACGGCATAGTGAAAGAGGTTTGGGTTGTAGTGCTAGTTGCTGGAGTCGAAGAAGGGGTTGTGGTCGTGAGAGTAGAAAGAAACGGAGCGGAGGGAGTTGGGAAGGATTGTGAGGTCGGTTTTGAGGCGGCATTGGAGAAACTGGTGGAGAAACCGAAAGAGGATTGTGAAGCGGAGGAAGCCGGCGTTCCGAAGGAGGAGAAGCTGGAAGCGGTTGTTGATGGAGGAGCAGCGGTGGTGGGAGTGGAGGTTGTGGGTTTCAAAAGAGGGGAGGATGTTGGTAATGTGAAGGCTGAAGTGGAAGTGGAGAAGCTTTGGAACGATTGGGTGGTTGGAGCTACAGAGGATGAAGGTTGGGACGAGGAAGCTGTGCCAAACAGTGGCGAGGGTGCGCTGGGTGCAGAGGACGCTGTGCCAAACAGCTGCGAAGCGGAAGTGGACGAGGTTCCAAACAGGTTTGTGGGTGCGCTGGGTGCAAATGAGGTTGCTCCGAATGGGGATGAAGTGGCGGAAGAAGGAGCTCCGAATAGAGGGGAGGCGGAGGCGGTGGAGGTGGGGGCCGATGAGGATGAGCCAAACAGGGATTGGGACGGAGTTGAACCAAACAGAGGAGTTGAAGCCGTTGAGGCCGAGGAGCCAAACAGGGACAGGCCAGAGGATGCGGCTGATGAGAATCCAAAAGAAGGAGCGGAAGCAGAGGAGGTTGTGGTGGTGGCGGCGGCGGAGGCGGCGGATGAGAATCCAAAGGAAGCGGAGGCAGATGAGGTTGTGGTGTTGGTAGAGGAGGGTACGAATCCGAAAGAAGGGGCGGAAGCCGAAGACGTTATTGTGGTGGTGGTGTTGGTGGCGGTGGGTGCGAAACCGAAGGAAGGGGTAGAGGCGGAGCTAGGGTTTGAGGATCCGAATGGGGAGGAGGAGGGAGTGGAAGTGGAGTTGAGGGAGAAGGAGAATGGAGATGGGGAGGAGGAAGGGTTAGAGGGAGTGGAGGCGCCGAAGGCCGAGGATCCAATGGAGAAGCCGGTGGTGGACGTGGTGGCAGGTGCAGAGGATCCGAATAGGGAGGCAGAAGAGCCGAATGAGAAGGAGGAAGGAGGGTTGGAGAAAGAGAAAGGGGAAGTGGATTGGGCGGAAGAGGAAGAGGCGGAGGAGGCGGAGGATCCGGATGAAAAGCCCGACATTGTTTTCCCTCTTCTTCTCTTCACTCTCTTCCGGTGCTGCTGCTGCACTATGTGATTGAGAGGTTTTTCAAATTTTGGGGTTTTTGGTTAAGGCATTCCAGAACTTCTCTTTTCGATTTTTGGGTGTCGATGGCTTCCATAGGAGTGGGCTGGGCCTTCATCCACAATGGGTAAAAAACATGCATTTCTTTCCCTCCTTTTTTATTTTTATATTTTTTTTATTAAACGAAAGATTTTGTTATATTAGATACAAGATTAGTTACATTTCTGATTTGCTCTCAACTCTCCGGAATTTAAATGACTCACTGTTTATTCCTGCATGTATTAGTAAATACAAGAATGATTCATAATCGAGATCAACCTTTCAATTTCCATTCTGGTTACGAGTATACACGCCATAAAATTGATGACTCTTTTGTTAATACATAACTAGCATATGGGCACAAACAAAGCGTGAGAGTGGGAAGTTTTTTTTTTTTTTTAATTTTAATTAGAGATATGTTAGGATTACATGTAGGTGAGGCTTTGAAAGAAAAAAAAAACAAAATTTGGTTGTATGAAATTACATTTTGCCCCATATTTCTTATTCATGTTCTGTTTTAATTAGAGGGTTAAGCTGGTAATTTTATAGGATTTTATTTGATAATGAGTGTTTTATTAATTAGTAGAGATAATTAGAATTCAAATAATGAATTGGATTTTAATTATGAATTTTATTGCGTTTACTAAATAATGAATTGGATTCAGATTATGAGTATTATTTGGAGGTAGTATTTAAATTGAGGAGAAAAAAAGAGTATAAAATTCATTTATTGTATTCATTAAGCTCTTGTTCTAAATAAATTTTTAATAAATCAAATAATATATTTTTTTTTTAACAAACATAAAATAATTTACATTAAATTCATCTAAAATATGAGGAGGAAGAAGATTTAGTTGGTTAATAAATAATCATTTTTTAACATGTTGTTGATGTCTGATTGATTTATCAATCTTCGATACATGTTGTCATTATTTAATTTTAAGTTAAAAATCCCAAGAATATTAAATAGCTACACAAATTGAAAGTATCTACAAGGTTGAAAGCATATACAACAGAACAGTTTTACAAATGGAAATATTTATCCAACATGTTCTTGAAGATGCCCCACAAATCCTCTCCCTTGTCGATGAGGATGTGGTAGCCTCCATTTTTCTCTAACAATTTCCATTATCTTTCAAGCTAAAACTTGAGCTTGCTTAACCTTAATCCGCCACTTCTTTACCTCCCGCTCTTGAAATCTTTCTTTTTCATGTTGCAGAAATAAAGTTTTGATATCTGATCATTGCTGAAGGATTTGATTTTATCAACTAAAACTTTGTCATCATTGAATATAATTTGAGCTTGCTAAAAGGCTGATACTCCATTCTCCAATTGGTCCTGACACGCCCCGATCCCAATGTTCGAAAGACAACGGGATGACCACATGCTGGCCGACATCCAAGGGTGACGCAAGCCATTTTATGAATGCATATGCCGAGAACATATGAAACATGCATGTAATTTTCGCGCGTAACAACGCAATATAGTAATCAAGTACAAACCTTAATAAAATATAATATTCAACTACCAACAATGTAAAAGTGATAATGCATGATATGTTCAAAGCATTATACTAATTCGAAATACAAGCGGAAGAAATATTAGAAAGTGTGATTACAAGAGATGTCCTACACAGAAAGGACACAAATTCACTGATATGGGAATGCCTCGTAGCTCAGGTCGTATACCTCGTACCTAGGTCCTAAAGGGGTGCAAAACCAAACATAAGTAGACCAAGTTTATGTATATGCAATACTAAAACAGTTATTCTTCAACGTACTAACCCTCAGTTTAGAAAACTCATATAGCATAATAAGTAATAGGTTTTCCGAAAACCCCAAGAAGAAATGAAGATCACCAAGATCTTTCATGGCGAAGCGCGCACCCAGTCGCTGAATGAAAGAAATGAGACGAGAGGAGACTGAGGCAGGACTGTAGTCCTGAGAAAGATCATTATGCAGACTGTATATCATATAAAGTGTGCTTAGTAGTGGTATCACAATTGCCCGAAGGCACTACATCGCCGCCCCAAAGATCATATATAAATATCTTCCACTCGAAGGCACTACATCGCCGCCCCAAAGATCATATATAAATATCTTCCACTCGAAGGCACTACATCGCTCGGTCGAAGCCATATATAAATATCTTCCGCTCAAAGGCACTACATCGCCCCGCCGAAACCATATATAAATATATTCCGCCCGAAGGCACTACATTGCCAAACCAAAGCCATATATAAATATCATCCGCCCGAAGGGACTACATCGCTCGCCCGAAGCCATATATAAATATCTTTCCAAAATATATCTCATCAGAGCTCAATAGCTCAAACATCATATCATAAATTATATTCAAAAATATCTTAGTAAACATAAATTCTATAAAGCATGATAATTCAAAAAGCGTTAATCTAATTTACTCATAAACGTTTCATAAAACGTAGTCATAAAATCATGCTTTTCATGTATGCATTTCTAATAATAAAGATCATGCATTTTAGAAAGGGTCCACTCACAGATACTCCGTCGTCGAATATCTGCTTAAACTAGAGAGGACGGGGTCTCCACTAACAAACACACCTAAGCACATAAAGGAACCAATTAATGAAACTCTACTAAAACGATTGAATTTGGGAAAACGAAATGCGGATTTGGAATCAGGACGTCAAAATTAGTTTATGAGGGGTCCCGGTTGAAACCCAAAAATTCAACGTTGACGGCCAATGGTCAATGGAAGTCAACAGATCAGGTCAACGGTCAACGGGTCGGTTTAACAAGGTCACTTGAAAACCCACCGGAAACTGGGTTTTTGGCCAGAAATCTGGACAATTTTTAAAGCTTCGTAACTTCTTCGTTTCATAACCAAATTCAACCCATAATATATCAAAACGAAGCTAGAAAAGTGTGGAACAAGAGAATACATATTTGGAAGCCCAATGGTTGCTAGAGATGGTCGGAAAATGGCTTGAAAGGTGACTGATCCGTGGGAAAACTAGGTTTTTCATTGGATTCCTAGGTAAACTTTAAACGTTCAAAACTTCTTCAATACTCAACGAAATCGAGCGATTCAAAAATGAAAATCATACTTCTCAACGAGATGAAGAGAATGGTACTTTCTCATAGCTAACTTGTCGTGGTTTGGCCAGAAACTATCCTGAAAGTTCTTGGCCCGACTTGGATTTCGATCCCGACAATCCAAAAGTAAGTTCGAGGTAAGTTTGGGTGTTCTAGGCTCTTGAGGACGAGACGAAGCTCGTGGTTCTCTTGGTTTGAGTGGTGATGGGAGTGTTGTCGTTGTTGTTTGTGTGTTGCCTTCCTGGAGAATGAAGGTTAGAATGAGAGAACAAAGTTTGAGAGAGAGAGAGTGAGTGTGTGTTGGCAGAAAATAGAAAAGAAATGGGAAAGGGGGGATGCACGGGACAAAGAGGAAAAAGCAAGGGGACAAGGTAGGTCATAGTGGCTCACAAAATACGAAACGTGAAACTACCGAAATATCCTCGACGTTACGAAAATAAGGATGAGGCATTACAGGTCGAGTATGCCTTGGAATATTGGCCTAACACAAGGAGGGAAGAAGTTGTCTTTGATCTAGTCTTGAAAGTTATGCAAAGCTTGATGCGCTGACCCTTATCTGTTAAGCAGGCATAATCCTTCCCAAGGAAGCCCTGAATTATAGATTTGGTATTGTTGGTCAGGGTTTCTGTTTTGGTTGAAGTTGAACTATTAAAAGATGCAGTAGCAGCCGTGGCTGCAGCCACGAGATTCTAGAGAATTTTTATTGATCCAAAATGTTAGCTTCCAAGGTAGGCGAGTGTTTCTACTAAAAAAAAAAAAAATTACACGTTAGAAGAATATTTCAGGTCAAAGCATTGCCTAATGAGAGAATAAAAGATTTGAAAATTTGAGAAGTACCTTGGCAGGCCGTGAAAAAGTGGCTTCATTAGTGGCAAAGTTCAAAGCACAAGAAGAATTTAAGCCTTGTAATAATATGGAGATGCATTGATCATCAAGGGATTAGGAAAGTCTAACCTATCTTCGTTGACAAAATATTATGTAGATTTCAATAATGATTGTATTAAATCTGAGCCTCACAATGATAAAAGTAATTACTTCACAGAGCTTTCCAATGCGATGTAAAATCAATTGCACGACTATGGAGTTCACGTACTTTTAGATAAATAAGGATTCTCATTCTTATTTTCAATATATGGATTATCTTTCAATAAAAGCATGTCAATTACTTCACGTTGTAAGAAACTGCATTATGTTATCAAAATATGCAAATCTATATGTGATATACTTGCTTTCACAACATTCAAGGCTGGGTATTTGAACTTTCCAAATTTTCCATATCATATATGTGAAATTAATATACATTTTGTAATTCATATATAAAGCTACATTTAATAGACAAATAAAGAAAAAGGAAAACACATGAAGTACCTCCTGAGTAGTTTTCCCTATGATCTCAGATGGTAATCCAGTAATAGGTATGATGAAGCTGGCATTTAAATTTGTCCTAGAAGACGAGCAAAATAGATGAGCACAAGTTAGATAAAAGAGCCTTTACAACTAATGTTTTTTCTTCCGTTTCCAAATTTATGAATTTCAATTCAAATTACACAACATCATTATGTCTAATCTTTTAAGGTTGTATTTGCCTTCAGAGCTCAGTGAAAAATTCTTTATAATATGAAAAGCACATAAAAGACTAAAATAATTAATGTCAAAGTGATAATAAAAGGAAAAAAAAAAAAAGGAACAATGCATTGTTATGAAGTTGGACTATATTGTATTGGAAAATAAACTACGAGAAAGTTCAGATGCCATACCCTTTAGTAGCTACAACAAGTGTTGAAGTTGCTGGAGTTGCAATTTTACTAGAACTGTTTGTCGTCATTCTAGGTACAAATGTTGAACCTACAAAAGTA